GTTAATATTTTTTGTGTACATAAATAATAAATATAATGAAAAGAGAATAATGAAAGGTCGTATCGGTCCGGAAGTACTGCAGGCAACAATTTGTGACTGCTTTGTCGACTATAGTTTAGCGCCACTTACGTCATGATGAAGGTAAGCCTAGTGACGTTAACCGGGTACTTCGGGAATTATAGGGGAATATATAGAGAGGGAGAGGCAGGTAAGAAGGGCAATCAAAAGAAGGAAAGGGATATTGCTCGTACAGATTACTTGGGCAGTGTTAACAACGCTCGAGCAGTTTAGATCTGCACGGATGGCGTAGTAGTTTAATCGGTCGCCACGCCGCTTCCTACTGCGCCGAGTGTTGTGGGTTCAAACCCCACATGGGACGACACTTTGTGTGATCCACAAATTGTTGTTCTGAGTCTGGGTGTTCTTTGTGTCCGTTGCATGTTTGTTTTTAAAGTCCCCCGCGACACAGGATATATTCCTAATGCGGGAGTTGTCTTTTTAAATATAAAGAAAGAAATAAAGAAATATAAAGGGTCGTGTGTATTCGAACTAGCTGTTGGTTGTCCTAATTTCATATTGTGTTTTTTTTTCATATTTGGAAGTGTAAAGATGTATTATACTAAATCATAGGTTAAATCACAACCATACATTCATTTATTTAAACTTATAATCTTTTTATTTACGCTTGATGACCAAAAAAATATCTAAGGAGGATATTGTAGCTTACCTTAAACCCAAAGCTTTAAGAGTTGATAATAAGGAATATTACGGCCCCCAATTTAAGTCTTAAAGCTTTTATTTCATGACGTAAGCACTGTCCAAGTATCTACGCAGACATCTCGGCTAAGTCTTAATAACAAGGGTTATCTCGTTGAAGATGGGTTAGGGTCAGTTTACGCTGCCATTTAGACGACAGATCTGACGACATCCAATGATTAATTACAAACGTTTTATGAGTGTTTGAAAGTCAAAGTTTTTCTGTCATCTGTAGAGACTTTGACAAAGATTCATTACCTCCCGCTGTATGCGAAAAACGATTTTCCGATGCGGTCGTCGTCGCCACAAAGAGATGTGGGGGTAAAAGTTTTAAAAAATTGTCGCCCTGGGCGCGATATCGGGTTCTGGGTCAGTGATGGCCTCGATAAATTATAGCTTGATTTTAGGTAACCGGCAACTCGAATGGAATGCGATTTACAGGATTTCTACAATGATATTTTCACAAATAATGTGTAGTACTATTATAGTACTGTGGTAGTCAGACTGCTGATATGCATATATATTTCTAAATACATACATATTATACAAAGCTTTCGATACCGTCAGTCATAGCCTACTATTGGAAAAGTTATCATCTATAGGCATTAGTGGCAATGCACTCAAAACGTTTCAATCATACCTCCAAAACAGATATCCAGTCACAAAAATCGGAGATACCGTAAGTACACGGAATATAATTAGTTATGGGGTGCCCCAAGGTTCAATGTGTGGTCCATTACTATTCTTTATTTACATCAATAATATTCATGAAATAGGACTGAAAGGACATATCACTTTATAAGCCGATGACACTTCAGGCTCACTAACCACTAAAGCACCAGACTAGTCAACGTTTCAACTACCAGTATTCACGTCGTCGATGTTGCTTGGGTTGATATGTTGTTCGTTGCATCCTTCAATCGCATAAACCGCCCCATTTTGTGATCTTGATTTGCAATATAAATGTAGCCCATTAGAGACGAAACAAACTTTACACCTATATGTACTTACTGTCACTCTGAGTGGAAAAGATCCCGACTGGTAATGGCAGTACGAAGACTTCCTTTAAGAGCAAAGTTCTTTAATGTACTGAGTATGCTCTGTTACAGCATACTAAGTCGGTTTTGTTGTTTCAAAGATGGCAAAGATGTCTTAAGGGCATAAATTGAAATTAGAATTCGATACTTTTCGTATGAAATTTTACAGAAAGACGATTTGTAATTTTTGGAACAGCAAAAACAAAAACAAAAAAAAATAATTCGAAACTGACAAGCTAAGCCAGACAATAGATGGTTAAAGTTATTTCTCAATATAAAGGTTAGTCCGTGATCTATCGTGGATGCACGAGATGTAATCAATGAAACTACAGTTCTAATAACAAATGTTCCAAAAATAACTAATAACAAGGCTGTTGTTGCAATGTCATTTTTTTTTTGAAAATTAAAAACAAAATCATGAAATAAGAATATGCAAGTTAAAAATATTTTCTTTCAAATACCTATAAGCATTTTCCGGTTACCTAGTTACGCAAAATTATCCTAACGGTTGTTGGTCACTCACACTCACTCACTCGGTGAAAAGCTACAAAAGAATTCCTAAACTCCAATTTTCTGTGAGGCTATGGTGTAAGTCCGGCCGAACCCGCCAATAAGTGGCGAACTTTCACGAAAAAAATGGTGATTACGGAAAGCTTTCAGATCCTGAACACAGAAACATTTTGCCTATTTTATCTTTTGAACGATAAATCGCTGAAATAAAAAACTTAATAGAACCTTGGTTCTTCGAAAAGTTTAGTACGAGTATGAAAAATTGTTCTTAATTAACGTGCACCTGGTTTTTGTCAAACTTTTTATTTGACACAAGAAAAATCTGTTGGCTAAATACGTACCTCTAGGGGGGTCTTGAAGAGAACATTTAATGATTAGATAAAGAAAATCGTCTCAATGGCATAATAACTATTCATATTTATTTTTCCCTAATTATCTCCTCATTAACCGTCTTTTTAGATGAAATTCACGTAGTCGATTCCCATATTTTTTTCATATTGAAGGCTGATGGCTTTCGCATTTATCCTAAAACTTCTAATTAACATTAATAAGAATAGGATAAATCCAATGAAACTGGGTCTCATCGAGGCACGAGGAAAATAAAAGTGCGTAGGAGCCTGCATAGAATTTCATCAAAAGGAAATTGAAAGGTTGGGATTATGGAAATCTACTTTTTGTTGAAATAAGATGGGACGAACACACAATGGCGCTACCTTAAAACTATGTGCTGATAGCACATATATTACAATACTATTTTTAATATATTTTTAATACATTTAATGGATATTGACTTGGAAAACATTTCATAATTTTTATATTTTAATTTCAAAGCTTATTTTGTAACAAACGTCAAGGCTTCAGAGGTTCCTCTTTCGCAACCAATTTCAATCAAGGTCTTGAGCAACCTAACCCTAACCCCAATGTAATGCTAAAGCTAGCTCGCGTTGCATGTTTAGAGACAAATCGATTTAGTATTTGATACTTTCAATGCCTTTCCAAGAATCAAAATCAAATCTAAGACGCCGCAGAGATTACTTTGCGTCCAACTTTATACAAGCAATAACAAACATGGAACTCAATCCCTAAATAGTGCACTAATGTTCCTATTCATTCCATCAATGATTTTGTTTAGTATGCAAAAACATAACATAGTAAATAACATGTTGGGCCCTAGATGGCGTTAGCTTAGAATTGCATCGCACTGTGGTTTTGTTTAAAACCATTGTATTTAAGCATACACAATATGTTCAATAAATGTCTCGCTTTGAGATGCTACTGCAGTTTTATTGGGGTATTACTGGAATCAAGGCACTTTGTACCGATATTGTACAGATATCACATCCAAAAAATCAAAACAAAGCAGTTCTTTTAAAACATCAGTTTGTGAGGTAATTGTTACTTATTTTTTAAACTAATGAGCAATTATTTTAATTTTATATTATTTTTATTCCTTATATATATTAGCTAGATATTCTCGGCCAGAGCGAAAAGCTCCACAATCCTATTCAGGTAACCATAAAAATTAAAAAAGATTTTTTTTGCGGGGTTTTATGTTAAGCCCCGATTTGCTGTGTCGTCATATCCCGCACATCCGAAGGAAAATTAAAAACTTTATTTTTTAATACAACAAAAATTGTTTAATCAAAGTTTCGTTTTGGTAGATAAAAACAGGAACAGTAGTATTATGTATGATATATTTCTGTACTGGACGTATCTACAATAAATAGAACTGAAGTTTAACAATAAACGCATTTTAATTTGAGAAAAATTACATTAAATCTGACTCAGCAGGAAGGCAATTGTTTTTTTCATGACATTTATGCATTTTAATCTGTTTATTTGAAACTTTGTTTATGTAACACGAACCTTGATTACGAGTGTTAGTGTTATCTGTAAATAATAATAGTTTATAAAAACTAAAAAACACGCTTTTTATAGAAAACCAAACTAAAAAATGGAAAATAAATTTTAACAAATTTGAAAAAAAGCGTGCGGTGTTTTTTACTATTGACTATTATTATTTTTTTTTTTTTTAATATTATTCATTTTAATTTTAAATTAGCGTATTTTCATCGGTCCTCGATATATTTACAAAGTTTGAACGAATTCTGATCGTTTAGAGTCAGTCAAAGTACGCCCAAAGGAGTCGGTTACAAACAAACATACAGGTGAAGCTAATAAAACAAACAAAACAAAAAGGGTGTAAAATTGAAGATTTCTTAGAAACGCGAATAAGTCGGTTAAAGGTGATTTGATAGGTCCTGAACTTCGGTGCGGCCGGGGGCTGTCGTCTGAGGTGGGACGCCGTTGCGCCTTTTACCCTGTAGAGCAGTGAGAGGCGCGATAGCGTCCTGCTCCAGGGTGACTACGATCACTCCGGGATGTGCCTCACACATGAGGTACTGGGAGGGAGGACTCCAGAAGTCGCCGATGCGTTCCTGGAGCTCCTCCCGACTGCCGAGGTAGGCCGCCGCGGGGTTTAGTGGGTAGACCGGTTCTCCGGGAGTCCCACACAAGCCCTACGTTTCCCCAACGGAGGGTATGGTGCGAAAAGCTTTCCCCGCGTGAAAAAAAAAAAAAAAAAAAGGTCCTGAACTTCGTAATTGATAAATATTTATTTTGATTTCATATGTACAATACATCTAATACTGAAAGCTGAATTCTCGGAATGCTATTTTCAAAAGAATCCTGAAGAAAATGCTAAGTCAGTAATTAAAATAGTCATTTATGTAGGTACTGTTTTTGCGAAGAAAAATTTTCTCATAGCGTTAGACGTGAAAATACATTTTGCGGAAAATAATGTTGAATTCTTTTTGTATTTGTAATTGTTATTGCGTTCATTAGCAAGCACTTAGCAAACCTTGGGCTTTGCTGGCAATACTGAGCAGGCGGTAATGGACTATAATATTAAGTTTTAGGTGTTTATGTCTGTACCATTAGAAGCCGTGAGACCTCGCCCAACAGCCTATATTTATTCACAACAATATTACTAACTTTAATGATCTAAATGCAATACAAATATAGTAAATAAGTATTGGAAGTTATGAAAAAGTCTTCTATAGAAACAAGTATGCTTAATGAATTAAGAAAATTTTAACGGAATGTTACAATTTTTGTCAGAATAAAGCATCTAAACGTTCTGGTAACTACGCCTATTTATAACTACATATCCATATTTCTATTACAAATCTTAAAGTAAGTTTGTTTATTTGTTTGTTACGTTTTCACGCCTAAAATACTAAACCGATTTTAAAAATTCTTTTACCAATGGAAAGCTACTTTGTCAGCGAGTGACATAGCCTACTTTTCACCACGATAACAGAGATATACGCGTTGCAACATTAATATATTTACTATAGTGAATAAATATTAAAATACAATCTTTTGCCCGCGGCTCCTCCCAGCTATACGTCGGCTATCGATGTAGCTTTCCATTAGCTAGCATATTATGCAGATTGTGTATATGCATATTTAATGTTTAACACATGAATGCAGTGATACGTTGGTAAGTATTTAAAATTTTAAAATTTTGGCGCAACTTTCCGCCATCGTTCCACACAGCAGAATGTTCATCCTCATCACCTGGATAGTTGGCGCTCCACAACTGTGCGCTGTTTGAGACACTTTTTGCCCCGCACAACCAATCCGCAATTTGTGGATTGCGGATTGGTTGTGCCAATAGCAGCAATACTGATTGATTTGCTGTAATTTTTTGAAGAGTTCCGTTGTCTGTCTTCGAAACTCATTATCAGATCTATACGAGTATGAAATTTAAATGGGACTATTCTGAAATAAACTCCTTTCGAACAAAAAAAGAATTTTGAAAATTCATCTATATATGATGGCCAAAGTTATGCCCAAACATACCAAAAAAATATAAATAAACATCTGAATTGATAACCTCCTCCTTTTTGAATTCGCTTAAAAATATATGACTGCTTTTTTAAAGTCACGACAAAATCATGCCAGAGGGACATTTGAACTATCTCAGCATCATTGGATTGATGACTTTGTTTATGTAAAATGATGATGCTTTATTTAAACAATACTCTTAGAATATTTAAGGAATGTACCTAATTTCAATGACGTATTATAATATTGTTTTGTTTATATATCATTGCCTAATATTTTGTATGCCTTTCGGCGGGACATAGCTTGTACATAATAAAATTGACATCTTAACCACCTATGTATCACAAAATTGAATAAATAAATGAAAATGAAATGAAATGAAATCAACTTGTCTATATAATACATAAGAAGATCAGCATACGACTAATATTAAAGCAGTAATCAGTCCAGATTGATAAGCTATTTTGTACCGTTACCCTACAAATCTCCTCAGCAACTAAAACTCTTGTCATTTGGACAGACACGTTCGTTAGTCCCTATTTTTATCATATATCTTGTACTTCTAAGTTTCCCCCAAGTTTATTAGCTCACGATAGTTTTGGGATCCAGAAGTCGCTAACTTTTCGAACTCGACTTGCCCTGCACCCCGGAGTAATCTCATTTTTTCTTGTTTGTTTGGATGGGGCACTTAATAAGTAATAATATAATCTGTACGGATACAAGATTTTGAGGGGAATAAATACTTTATAAAGGAAAGTTGTCCAAAGATTGACGTTATTATAGATATTCGTATTTTTCGTTATTAGGGTTCCGTACCTCAAAAGGTAAAAAAGAAACCTTTATAAGATCACTTTCTTGTCCGTCCGTCCGTGTGTCACTACCGATTTTCTCAATAACGGGTAGACTTAGCAAGTTGAAATTTATACTAGATACTGAGGTCTAGGGTCCCTATTAGGTGTAATTATCAAATGTGTAAAACTTGTAATTATCAAAAATTTCCCTAATTATCAACTTTTTCTATTTTTCAGAATTTTCTCTTTACTTGTGCTACAAGACCTTGCTTTTAACCAAAATTGACAATTCGAGGTCAACCGGAAGCCTGTAGGTAGGAACCCTGTAGGTTTTGGGTCGGTAACCTATATGATAGTTTCGTTGACCTAGAATCATGAAATTTGGCAAAAAGAAACGTCTTACAACACAAATAAAGGAATAATTCCAAAAAATCATCACGGCTTTGTGGAAACTTTAACCATTAAATTCACAAAATAATCCTCAGCAAGCAATGGTTTTTTCCTGAATGGAATTTCCATAAGGTTCATAGATACATACCATTTAGCACAATTATAGGTCAGGACAGCTCACTCCGTTTTATGAGCTCTTTTTATCGTTGGGGTTATTCGTAACCTATTTTTGAGTTAGTTAATTTTTTTAGAATACATGTTTCTATTATTTGTTACAAATAACCCAATAGCTTTTACCTACGGCTTCGCCTAAAAAGTCAAGGTAGTCCAGTGGTAAAGGATAATATACCTTTCTAACAGTGAAATAATTTTCAAAATCGGATCAGTACTCGTAGTACCGGAGATTACCCTTTATAATATTAGTATATTTATTTATTTGACTAAAACGCCTTAAAAACAATTACATTAATCAAGAGTGTCAATTAAAATTTCTTAGAAATATACTTAAAATTATATCAAAATAAACTTAAATTCTAAATATAACATACCATAAAATGACATACATAATACCAATCCTATTTATTTCAATACAGAATTCACAGAAAGTCAACAGAAACATGATTGTAATGTGATATTCATCACCGAAAGTATCGCAATCCAAGTAGGATTCCACGAGGCCATTGAACAGAGACAGTACGCAAGGGATAGGCGCGCGCGACTGTACGACACGTGGGTACGGCTAACAGTCGGTGTCCTCTGCTACGGAGATAGTTATCAGGGACATAAAGTCGAATCAGCTCACTGTGAAGATCAGGAGCGTCTTGAGCATTCTACTAGCTTGATCAGAAGCTCTCCTGATTTTCAATGTATCGTAACATCGTATCAAACAAGTATGGGTAACAACCGTAAGTACGCTTGTACAAAAAACGCAACAACTATTAGATGTGAATTGCTTGTAAGTGCTTTCTAGTAAATAAAATAACTGACACTTACAAATTGTCAACCCTGTAACTCATAAGTCTGATTTCATAGTAAGAACGTGGCATGGTTATTTGATTAATTTGAGTGCGGGTTGAAATTCGATGAGAAACCGTATGATAAAGTAAAATTCAGCCCAAAAAATAATTTACGATTTTCGAGATAAAAACAGAAATATTAACCTTTATTTATGTATACCAACTCATTTTAAAGACAATTGTTGAAATATCCTTTTAATATAGTTGGTGTGATATCATAGCTGAATACGAGTCAAGGCTGTTGAACGCGTTTAACATGTTAATGTCTATTTTATTAATATTTTTTTGGGGCAAAAAATTAGCCTTTCTGGGGTCATTGAATAACAAAGATTCATCCACATGCATCTTCATTTATACGTAGGTACATACATTCAGGACGTTAGAGTCGTACTAACGCCCCACATTTTGCCAACTATAATTTTAACCCCACATACGTAATAGGGGATGAACAGAACAGAACAAATGATCGTCCTCATCACACAATACTTGTCCTGGGTGAGAATCGTACACACGACCGTTAGCTTAGCAGTCAAGATCGTCAAGATCAGGATGGACTATCCTGTCATTAACAACAGTTGTAAGATTTAGAAATAAATAGTAAATATAAAAATCAAGTAAGTAGAAAAATCAACTTTGGAACATCTGAATATTTTGCCGAATGAAACCCGAGTAACTTTAAATCTTCGACAAGAAGTCGCTCCATACTTAAGTTATTCCCACTTTACAAGAGTTATCGAAAACAATGTCAGGTGGGTATATTTTAGGTGTTGGAAGTTTGTGGAGCACTGAGTTATTCAGAAGTGAATATTTTTCCAAGTCTTCTTAGTATCTACATAAATCTGGAGAAGTGAACAAGTGCTTTCTTTGATCTACTCATATTGTAAAGTTACCTTTGTACATTTAAAATTATTTCATCGTATGTGAATAAAACTAGTATTTTATCTGTGGGACAGCCATTTTTCTGCACATATGGGTAGGCTCAACAGGAATGATGCGACACGACCTCACAGATGACTGTTAGTAATATTAGTAACTCACTAGATTAGATATTTAAATATTTCATTTTAGTTAAATAGGTTTAGAAATGCATAAATTAAGATAATTATTTCGTAAAAGAGCCATACTCAATGGTAGTATTATCACGGCCCTCATAGGAAACTGCTGTTAAGCAGTTCTTTTGTTGAGGTTACCAGAGCCCGAAACGGCTTCCCCCTTCTTCAACTCCAAGCATTCTGGGGAGAAGGCTATTCAAAGGGCTGCAAGACAATTGTATCTCTTGCGTTGTATGTGTCCTTGGGAGGCGCTAGTCATCAGGCCACCCTCTACTCGTTTGCTCCCTATAACATGAAAAAATATAAAAGATCCGTTCAATAAATCCATAAATTTATAGGATACGGATACAGGCTATTTTTCTATTATAGATTTAGGTATACGCAATAAATACTCGTAACCATATACCGTATATATAAAATATGGACCCGGCTGTGAACGAAACCTTCAATCGGGTGTCGTAAGGGTGTATTGAAGGATTATATCAGTATGGGACATTTTATAGCCGCGTTTCTTTAGGATCGTTTGTCGTTGTACTATCTCGGAAATTCATGTACAGCGATGGATATTTACGGTATAACTGTGGTATGATCTTTTGGTTATGAATATGTTACCTTGCATCTACGTGGAAATAAACTATGTAACAAGGTATAAAAGATTGGTCCGTGTGGTGACGGATTAAGAATACAAAGTGTCACCACCCCTATTCATCCCGTGGGTGTCGTAAGAGCCGACTAAGGGAAAAAACTACGCAGAACAACAGCACTGCAGAGAGAAGGAAAACTTGACACAAACCCTATACCAACCCTTCTGGCCAGCGTAGTATAGTAGGCCAAAACCTCCTTTCTAAGGAGAGGCTTATGTCCAGCAGTGGACTATTAAAGGATGTTGATGATAAAAGATTGAATAAAATCATAATCATCAGAGACAATTTCGCTATTCTAGTTGAGTAAGACGTGTACACGTAAGTGACGTACCCACGTATCGTGTAATTACTTCTTAATTCGTGTTTCTAACTTTGAAAATAACAAACTTCCATACATTCGTTTATTCTTTATTTTACCTCCCCGTAGGGGTAAAATTTCCGTAGATCCTAGGGGTAAAATCCTTTCGTAGTAGGTGCTTCAAACACAGAAAGCATCAGCTACCAAAATTCAATGGCGTCTCAATAGCGTGTCAATGGAATGACAGAGGCTTGACGTTAACATAAAATAGGAGAATTGAGGCCCTGGTCGAAACGTCAGGCATTATACTTAATACCTATCGAGAGTGCGTAAATATCTGTAAACATAATTATAGAATTATATTAGCAATTATTTCTCTGAACTCTTAAGGGACCTCTATCATGTTTCGGTGTACTTAAGCAAAGGCCAAAGTGTTTAAAAAGAAAAGCATTTAGGGTATGGTATGAATGGCAATTCTCACATCTACAACATAGTTTTAAGATTTTACTTGTCTAATTTGAGTATAGAAAAAAAATGTTGTGACAATATGACACGTCAACGCCAGAACGTTTTATAGTTTATATAAGTTTTATACAAAAGTTTTATATAATAACTGCCACTGACAGCAAATTTGTCTTTCCTGAAGTCTATGAACCAATTCTGCTTATCAATTATAGTAATGATTCTTTGCTGGCCCGATTCTTTGCTGCCACGCGTTAATAGTTTGACACAGTAATGCTTTTACAGAAGCAAAACACGAGTGAGGTGTACCACACTATGCGTCTAAAGGAGTATCGTTTAACTTCCCTGTAGCTATTTGGCGTTGGCGTACATTGAGCATGTTTGAAATTTCACGTCACATCAGTGACCGTTTTTTCTCTTAATCGTAATTGGACAATGTCTATTCAGGCTCGACAAAGATTTTTTCACGTATGGTTTTTATGTCAGTGCTAAAAATAATTTTATGTTTCAGGTATCGCGTTCGGGCCTATGTGTGTCGCGTGTGTTTGTGTGTGACGTCGTGTGTATTCGCGTGTTGATCGCGCTGATCGTGGCATGCGCAGCGGGGGGCGCGCGCGGGGCCCGCCCCGCTAACGCCATGCGCGCAAGACTCACCGTCGCGCACCTCGCCCTGCTTGTGCTCGCGCATTTACCGCCACCAGGTAAGTCTATCACTATTCTCGATTAGTCTAATAAATCTTCCAAAAATGAACCTTTTGGCTAACTTGCTGACGTACGCTAGAAGTTCCCTAGCTACCAGGTTAGTTAAGAAGGATCCAAATGCAGATATAGGCGTGACGTTTTTGTAACATACATACGCGTGTCACGAGAACTGCCAGCCAATAATAATCATAATACATAATAGATAGAAAGAATACCCCGTGGTATTGGTGCACAATCAGTTTACTATTTACCCTGTTTAAAAAGAAAACCTAACATGAGGGCTGGGTCTGGGGTGGGCTGGGTCTAGAATGTCACTATTTTCCTAGACCAGGTCCTCCTGGTCCTCCTGGTCCTCTGTCTTGGAAAATAATAATCATTCTTAATATTATTTTATCAAAAGCAAAATAACTGTTTTTATTAATTTCTACATTACATCTAAATACATTTGAATGTCGCTAAAATCACCTAAGTTATTTACATTGTCTGACATACCGTGTAATTTACCGAAAAATAAATATTATTTGTCATGCATTTCACTTGTATATTTATGTAAAAAAGGGTTTACTTTTCTGTGCCATCCGAATATATTTCCAATATCCAAATATCATAATGTTTTTCTTGTTCATTTGTAGTGTTTTTCCTTAGGTACGTTGATATATACATTTGTTTAATAAGGTAAAAAGGAAAGGTTTACAAAGCAACGAAGCAGTCACGAGGTTTCCTTAAACAACAGAACAGCTGAAGCGCTGGAAATAAAACCTGGTAAAGGAAAACTATATGATTTTAGTCGTTTCGAAGCCAACATACCACCTCTCCGTTTGGCACCAGTAAAATGAATCCAGTGGGGGCTTCCACCCAAAAAAGTGATGAGTTGGTAATGATATTACTAATTTACTTATTCTGTACGGCACGAAGGTCAACCAGCTCCAGGACAAGCGTATTATAATGAAAAAAAAGGAAAGAAAACATTACTTTGTTTTAAACTCAAGTTTAATACTAACTTTTAAACTTTCGCGTTCCATGATAATTAATATTATTTAACGGGAATTAACGCGATCTCTTATTTAGGGTATTACATCAGTATCACCGTATCATACAGTATCACCAGGTTGCACCGGCCGTGGTCACAGACTGACTCCTGTGACCACGGCCGGTGCAACCTGGTCGAAACGTCAGGCAAACCAGAGGTATGTAATACCCTAAATAAGAGATCGCGTTAATTCCCGTTAAATAATATTAATTATCAAGTTTAATAGTTTTAGGAAATAGTTTTCTTTATACCTTAAAGATATAAAAAACGCTTAGTCTTGATATAAGTGAAAATATTTTACAATATAGTGGCAGTATATAGGCAAATTACTTAACTTAACTTTATGCATTTAGGTAATAATTATCTTCCGGCTTTCTGACATTTCTGTTCTTTATGATTGACATAACAGGTCGAAACATAAAGGTCGAAATATAACTAAGTTTTTTTTTCTATTCACTGGTTTTATTTGTCGTAACGACAAAACACTCGAGCAATAAGGGATTCATGTTGAAATTTTGCCGTGCACGGCTCTAAAATGGCCAATAAAACGCGGAATTGATGCTCAACCGGCCAAAAATTGTTTTATCTCCAAACTTTTCTCACCACGCCGATAGAAAGGGCGATCCTTGTTGAAATTGAAAAGCGTTTCGCAGCGGGCCGCTTAGGGCTCGCTCTATGAATAAACTCGATAAAATTTACCTAATCGTAAAAAGTTGAGGACGCGGACCGGTGGACCTCAGACCTCAACTATATCGTGGCAGATAATATCAAACGGGGGATAATAAAATTTAAGTGATTACATCGGCAAATTCGTTATTACAAACTTTGTCAGATATCAGTTCGGTATTATATCGTAAACGGGCAAGTGTGAGTCTAAATCGTTTCATTTCCTAGCTCGGGCGTCTCCGGCGCGCTCGCCCGAACAACGGCGAAGCTGTAGTATTCCAATAAATAAGTTATATGGAAGTTGATTGACTAAAGCACTCGACAGTTTCAAAGTTATGAGGGTTTTAATGATGCAGAATCCCATCAAACGTCACAACATGAAACTGTGCCACTTGTTTATTAATGGTAAAAGTTTTCGACAGCAAAATACACGGAGCACCAGCGAAGAAAAGGTCGGCGTTTATGGGACTGTACTTTGAACCTTTGGCACTTGCCATTTATTTTTTAATTAGAAATTCTGCCTAAGTGTTCCTAACTGAGTAAAAACTTTTATTAAATTTCTTTTTCTTTTGCTTGTATTTAGTATAACGGAGTGCCTATACTTACCAATTTGTCAAGCTGAGAACATCTTTGAATCTAAAATAAGGCGATGGTCTTCAAGCTGTCAGACATTGATAGAGAGACTTGAAAATCCATCACTGCCTTTGTTATTCACATCATCAGTTCTAAAAGACGATACATCATGACAATCCCGTAGTCAAACTGCTTTACTTCCATGGAACCTATCGTTTAAGGGTTCCATACCTCTTAGGGAAAAAACAGAACCCTTCGAGAAAGTTTAACTCGGGAACGCGTGTAGGTAACGAGTTAAAATTAAAACCATATACTCAGGTCTAAGGTCTCTCGAAACTGTAAAGTAATCAAAAATTATATCTTCAAATATTATATCTGCATATAGGAAGAAACTCATTGATAAGCCTAATGGCTATTGCAGTAGGGCTTTTGTCAGCCTGGGGAGAGCGCCACGTAGGTGAACAGCACAGGAGTCTATGTTATCGTCTTCCAACGCCACGCATATATTGGTCGGACACATAAAAATGTATTGATTTAAAGTCCTAAGTTAACGTAAAAAAAAGTATATGTGTATATCGCAAAAATATATGTATATGTCGCAAAAAAAGCGAATTTCGACACACTCAAGAAAATCAAAATTCATAAGGTACTTCCCGTTGGTCTGTAACTCTGAAATATGTCAAGTAACATCGTCTTATACTACCAGTACAGGGAAAATCAGCTAGTATACTAAACATTTGTAAATAAATCAAAAGAAATATAGTTACTTAAAGTATACTCGTATAGTTACTTTATTTAAAGTGCGTAATCTATCATCGAGTATATTTTCTCTTATGAAACTCAAGAATATAAGTAATTATAATACGTACCTAGACAATGTGTACAGAACCCTAGGTATCCGAGTCCGACTCGCACTAGTCTGGATTTTTTCTTTTCTGAATACGTCAGAGGTTTTTTTGTTCACCTGATGGTAAGTCCTTAAGATCCTTTGAGTGCTTCTTCCCTCCAGAGATTGGAGTTAAGGATAGACTTCCGGAAACCTTACTTATCAGCTGCCTTTAACAGTCCACTGGTGCACATAGGCCTCTTCTTTGAAAGGAGGTGTTGGCCTACTATACATCGCTGGCCAGACAGGTTGGTATACGGTTTGTGTCAAGTTTTCCTTCGCTTTGCAGTCATGTTGTCAGTCAGTCCGTCACTACACAGACAACGGGTAACCTAACTCACTCGGTTAAAAGTAACAAAAGAATTGCTCAACTTCGATTTTCTGTGAGGGCGTGATATAACTCTGGTTGAGACAGCCCATTTGTACCGAAGCATGGCCCTCTCGCGGCTACTGTCATGATGATCAGTTCGGGGGTAGAAATATAAAAGCGCTTGATTCTTTTTGTGGACAGGATTTTCTTAGATCGTTGTATTTGAAACAATACAGGCAATTAAAAAGTTTGAAAATATAATCTTGATTTCCACTTCCACCTTGTTATATGAAACACGAATAGATTGGATCCTTTCATCGTCGAAATACCAAAAAGTCGAACGAAACACTTCGATACTTCCTTTTTGGTTTACTAAAGCGTCACTAAAGTCTGGAATTAACTCCCTGTCTATATTTGTCCAGGCATTTATAGTATTAGAAGGTTTCAGAGAAGGGTGAACGAACGATTATACGGGTCCATATTTTCAATTATTCTTTGAACATTCAAGCAAGATGAAATAAATTCTATTTTGAGTTAGTTTTCCTACTTAAAGATATAAACGCTTCGACTTATACTCGTACTAGTCTCATATTATCTTTTATACGATCATATTTATGAAAACAAAAAACTTTTTTACTCTCCTTTCAAACGCATATTCTTTATATATATACACTCACAGAAATATTTATAATATTAAACAAAACACACACTAAGTTTTGTTTAAAAGAGTTTTTTATTCCTTTACCTTCATTAATATATACGGAAGTACACGAATTCTCTTACAATTTTTTCCATATTGAATTACGATGGTGATCAAAGACTGAAAGCGTTTTAAGTGTACCTTTTCAGATTCACAGTTAAAGCATCTGCTCAAGGAGCAAAAAAATACTCAGGGAAAAACATACGTCAACGTTGTATTTAGAGTCAGTTGTTTTTATTTACAAGGTACGATATGTTTGGGTACCGTATTATTTTGATTCAAACGATATTCAATTTGTAACATTGTTACTCCACTAAGGTAGAGATAAAGGAGTTAGTTGAATTCGCAAAAGTATTCAGGGTTGTGTAAGTAAGTTTATGATGAAAAAAGATATAGGTATGTACATACGGTAAACGAAATACTTGGGTGTGTTTTTCCGGCAAACATATTATTTATTATACGTTTACATGTGTGTGCATTGTTAATGCCATGTTTCTTCACCAATTATTAAATATCCGTCCAGGTATTTTGCTGTACTATTTTTCAGTCATTAACCTCACTTTTTTCGAACATAAATCAATACAACGAACTGCAAATAATTAGGGGAACAGCAGAAAGAATTTTGTTATTTGCTTGTCATTATACCACATCTGGCGCCATACTTATGTGTGTCAGTAAAGTCTTTGAAGGCAAAGCAATTTCATTATTTAGCAAATTGCCTGTCAATATCACGCACGCGGACAAAATATATCCTTATCCAAGTGTAACTTCTTTAAGAGGATTTGCTCCAGGAAAACGGTGTGGTAACCAGGATTACCACTCAGCTGACATTAATTATTATATTGGGCAAAACTATTCTACACAACAACCAAATCCTATCTCGTAAGATACAGGTGACCCTAATTTAAGAGGCAAGGTATGTTTTAAGTTTACAGATTTCTATAACCTAAAATACAAATTTTGTCTACGTTCTACTTTTAGTTGTAACTATCGTAACTTTATCTGTTTGCAACTTATATTTATCTGTAATTTTGGTTTAATAAATAGAAATACAATACAAGAGAGGACTTTTAAATCAACTACCGCCACTCGTGGCCGCCTGCAACTTAAGAGTTACAAGGTCGTTGCCGCCCTTTGCCCGCCCCCCACAGAATCAGGGAGAGGGCTACCCCTCTCCCTGATTCTGTGGGGGGGTTGGGCACCGCGGTAACCTCACTCACACAGTGAAGAGTAACGGGAGAATTACTTAATAATAGTTCTGTAAGGCGTGGTATTACTCCGGTCGAGCCGGCCAATTACTGCCAAAGTATGACTCTCCCGCGGATATAACCACTTTATATAATCCAGCAAAGTTTAAAACTTAAGATATTGCGTTTAAAACTTAAGAGTGGCGATGGTCATTTTCCATCAGGTGAACCGTCTGCTCGTCTGCCCTCGATAAAAAAAAAAATGTTGAAAATGGACAATGGTTAGCTCTACCTAATCTGTAATTATAGTTTAAATCAGAAAGGTGAAGCTCTTAAGAACTTACTGATATAGTATAAAATAATGACAGAGATATTTATAGAGAAATACCCTTTAGTCTTATAAATATACTAAGAATATAATATTCTACCACATTCACACAATGCCATCTAGTCCTAGACTAAGCAGAGCTGATATAAATATGTA